CGCATCTAAATGTATTTTTTTATTTTATTAAATTTTTATCATTCTTTTGTTTGGGATGTGATGATTCTACGTGACCCTGATTCACCTGAAGGTGGTGCAGACCCATCAACCGGGCGGTGTATGCAATGCTTGCATTCATCTTGGGCTCTGTCGCATATAATGAACATGCATACTTTTTTGGACGTCGCTTAAGGTTAATTCGAAATGTATTTTATTTTCGCTCAGCAAGGTGATAAAGCCATAGAAAAGAAAATGCAAATGGTACATCTGTTCTAGACGGTGTCTGCTGCTACTCCGGTGCACTGGTCTGAAGGAAAGCAAAAGAATGCTGTTTAGAGCCCTGAAAGGGGTTTTTTTTTTCTAAGCTGAGACAGCAGGTGACATAGTGGTTAAAGTTATGGGTTGGCAGTCTAGATTAGGTCTCTGCACCTGTGATTGGAAGGTCATCATTTCATATCCTATAGCTGGCAGGATGACTGTGTCCCTGTTGGGCCCTTGAGCAAGGCCCCTAACCCTGAAAACACATGCCTCGTACATGTTTCTAATATCTGTCCCTTCTAGGTTTTCCCTCGTGGGTTTTCTCATGTTGTCATTTTGGCTGGTGCAACAGCTTGGATCTGCGTGTGCACATGCAGGTTTAATAAAGATGTCATTGTACCCGCTCAGTATGGCTGTGTATCTGGATCAGCTGGAGCACTTAGTGTTGCTTCTCCAGAGGGAATCGAAAAGCTGAACTGAAATCAATTCCCTGACCCCTTTGAAGAAGGTGATTCAGAGGAAAATGGCATCTATAAAGTACCAGTTATAAATGCAGTTGCAGATAATATGTGAAATAGTACTGTTCATAGACGATGGGGGCGGGAGGGGGGGCAGTAGTCCTTATCAGGTGGTCCAGTTGCTGGAGGAATTGTTCAGTAGGAATAATGACATACATGACATCAGTGTAATGGATCATGGCAAGACACACATATACATGCAAGGAAAGTGTCCTCTTAAGAGATGTTTATATCAGTGTTACCATTTTAGAGAAGTAAATGTTGCTTCATGTTGAACTTAAAAAGAAAACAATGCTTTATTTGTATCTCAGTCTTTTTCTGTAAGTTTCTGGTTTGTCTCTGTACAGGGTCAAAGGCTGTCCATGCATGTCTGCTTTGATCGCAGCATGTGTTCATTAGCTAATGATGTTATGCTTTATTCCAGGTAGGCTACCCCCAACTGCTGCATAAATTATCTGTAAAGGTCAGGAAGACAAAAGGCAAAATAAATAATATTTATAACTGAATTTTTAAAATGTAAATGTGGTTTAATGGCACTGGAGTTCAGGATAAAATGACGGGCACTGCTTTTTAGTTTTGACACTTTTCACAGGATTTACACTCGTTCAGGCACTCTGCCTGTGCCTTGCCAGCACATTTATTTGTTTTCTGCTCCGCTGCCTTTGTGACGAGTCGCTCTCCTCTGAAGAAGGTTATCCGTTTCACGCAGTCATTCAAACACTTGGCAAGTCACGCTAATACGCAGTGTAGCACTGCGAATCCCAATGAATAACGCAATCTGAGTAACTGATAACGGAAGCCGGGGGCGCGCGAATCGGCTGCACGTGAGTCAGGTGAATTTGAGAGCTTTCTGGCGGAGGTTGTGATGCTGAGGTAATAATACGGGTTTCTGATTTTTAGGTGAGAGGTGTCAGCAAAGTCGAATTGGTTGTATGTTTAGGCCCATGCTGTTTTTTTTAAAAACGTCCTTATTTAGAACTTGTTCTGCTTTGTAGTAGCCTGTTGTCCACTATTTAGGCACCTGAGGTAGTGTGACTCGCGGCAGGATATGTCTCGGACTTCAAGTGAAATTGGATAAAACGCCTCAGCACGCAAGAGCAGTGGGAGAACAAAGAGCCGCCCGGCACTGAAGTCCTAATCCTAGAAAACCGCGACACTCAAACCATGATCTCCGAATCGCCGTGAATGCAGTTTGGAGCTGCCGGTTTTTAAACATTAAAACGATATAATAACGCTTTAATTATATGACGACGGGAGACTGGAGTAAAACGAACATGGGATTTAGATTTGAATTCATAAGTATTTCTGGGAAGCAAGGCATACAGTGATCTTATGAGCAACTGCTGTACTCCATGCCTGCTACAGTAGAAAGTCAATTCATATACAGTAGTTATCATTTTAAATACAAGTATGAAAAGTATGTACGGATCCCTAAAGAATCAGTGTGTTCCACAAGGGGTCTGATAATAATATAAAACTAGGCTATGTTTTGCAGTGAATTTTTCCTACATTGAAATGTTAATTAGAGAAAGATTGCATTCTGATCTTAAATGGTTGAGGCAAAACCTTTTTAGCTCCGGCGGCTCAGCACTCAGCGTGCGATGGTAACGTGGCGTCCCAGCGGTGCGCTTCGCGTGTGACGCGTGAGTGCCATGCAACTGGCTGGCATCGCATCCAGGACTAAAGCCGCTTTCAGGGTCTGGCTTTGTGTCCCCCCAAGTCCAACAGGGTAAACATTTGCGGAAAATGAATGCACGCTAGTTTTTGCAGCTGTGGCCATTCAGTTTTATTTATCCACACGCTTACCATTTCGTTCCTAATTGTGCTAACCCACAATACCCGAGACTAGAGCCAGGAGGCCCTCTCTGCCATGAATCATTTGCATAATTTGACCACCTTTAATTTTTGCTAATTTATGTTTCTCCCTTGATTTCTGACTGGTAAGAGTAAGGCCCCTGGGGGCCACCCAAAGCCCCACCCCCTAGAGGTTTTCTGTCCTGTACTTACATTGCACATCCATGCATGTGTGTGAACCACAGTTAATTGGTTTCCAACCAGCCCATAAATTTTTTGTTAAATTTCGACTAAACACACTGGGATCACTGTATTGGGAATAATATTACGCACAAATACTACTAAACTGAGTAGGAATATGAGTAATTCTTTCTGCAGGTTGCTGTCATCTTTGACGGCCCTTGGGTACACTTCATGTCACAGTGTGTCAGCGATCAGACGTCTCAGCTCGGCAGGTCCCTGGAACCACAGTCTGTCCGTTGGCAGCCTGGCTTTGCGACTGTTTAGCTGATGTTGAGCAGCGGAGACACGGGGGCGACCTCGCGCGGAAGGAATTGGGTGCCCCCCCCCCCACATGCACACCCGTCACACGTCTCACAGAGCTTTCCGGAAAGGGTCTGACGACATGAGCACAGTGTCTGCACACTCTCCTGTCAGTCTGATTGAAAATCAACAGCAGGAGGGTGGGGGGCGACATGAGGGGGGGGGGGGGGGGGGGGGGGGCTCCCTGTCTAACCTTATATTTTGGCACTCAGTCAAGGTGCTTTGATGTTATTCGAAACATGCCTATCGCCCCTGCCAACAGCGTGTTCAAATGCCAGGCAAAATGTCAGCTGTGTTGCACGCGAACACATAGCCACACTATGTAATCAATTGACATTATACTTGGTGTCCTCACTGGCTTTGCGCAGCTGTTTGCCTAACACCAAAAAAAGGACTCGGTGTTCAAACGATTCAAATGAAGCCAGTGTCATTCGCGCAATCATTGTTTTTATTGTGACTTCGTCTGGGAAGGTGTTACCTGTAGCACATAGTGTTGCGTCCTATCAGCCTTGTGGAAGCTAGTGGCTTGCATTGACGTCTGACTGCATACCTTTCACAGCGCTTCTCGGCACCTCTAAACAGCTCCAGGTGCTGACGCTCACTCCCTCACGCTTAGTAGTACTCACTTCTGTAGTCGTAACACTTGCCGCAAGGACGACTTCCTTAAATCTTCCATTGGAAACTGCTGCAAAAATTTACCAGTTTAAGTCAATGTGTATAACGTGCTAATCCAACTCTGCAGTAATCACACAACAGCCTCTGTAAAAATTGGCACATAATACCCTGCTTACATCTTTATTTTACAGTTTGCACTGCATTGGTATTTACAACTGAGATGAATTTTGCAAATAAGCGTGTGATAAATCGATATAAGTATAAAAGTTATAATCTGCATGTGTGTTGTTATGCTGAATGCTAAATCTAGAGAGGATCTTATAGGCATTCTGATTGGATGAAACGCCAGACCATTTTATGTGGCCATCCAGTCTTTTCTTGGGAGCGCAGGGGTGTGAGTGTGATGAATTATTCAGGCCTTTGTGAAGAAGACTGGCCTTTGATCCTTTGATCGTCTGTATTCCCTGGCTGAGACTGACACCAGATCTCTCTCATGTTACCCCTGCACAGCCTCCTCTGGGAGGCAGTATTTTTCAAGTTCCTGTGAGCACTTTGCACCTTTAAGGGGGGTGGGTACACTGATAACACGGGCTGCCTGTCAGATAGGCTCGGACCTCAGAACTGCAGTGGAGTTCTAGGGGGGGTTATCCTGACCTGCTCTATGGGCATGTTTGGATTCTGCTGAGTTACCTGTTCCAGCGCTACACACAGGAATGAACATGTTCTGGAGAAAGAATGTTTGCAGTGGAACTGTATTTAAGCTTTCTGTTACTTTTATTAGAGTAACTACTGTATTGAGGAAAGAAGCCTTGAAACCCATTTTGGGTGGTATTATTGGATGTTATTCAGCCACTGGTTTAGACCAGTTGTGTTTGGGTTTACCAGGCACTGACTGATGGGGTGTGATGACCTCATCCACTGGGTTTTCTCTCATCACTTAAACTAACTGGTCCCTGCCTGTATACTGCACATACATCGCAAGGAACAAAGTCTCTATTCCTAAAGGATTTTATGCTGTGGTGGTGGTTGTATGTTATACTTTAATACTGTATAAACGTACCAAAGATATGCTTTTATTATGAAAGGTGTTTTTTTGACAGTCATGAAAATGAATTGTGAAGTGTGAAATATTGCACTCGCAGAGTCAGCTGAGCACCGTAAATTTGAATTTGTTACGTCTTAGGGAACAATGCAGTTCCGATGATATTCCGGTTTAGAGCCCCAGTCTTTTCAGTGGAAGAGTCAATAAGCTTGTTTTGTTTTGAACTGCAGGATCCTGTTTACGCTCCAGGCTGGGAGCGCTGGGACCAGGAAGCCCTTTACTGTGCACTCTCCCTCCCACGTCACAATAGAAAGGTACGTCTGAAAGCTTCCTCCTGTAGGTGGAATGGAACCACAGGCAAGTCCCTTGGCGCACGTGTGGTGTCTATCTGCCCTCTAGAATAACGTGGACCTACACAGAATGAGAGACACTGATGATCAGTCATGTGATGATTAGTCATGTGACTAAAAATGAGAAAAAAAAAGGATTGATATGAAACTTGTTGGTTTTTCACTTGCCATCACAGAAACAGGTACTGGCCTGGAGAGATAGGCTGAGCCTGGAGGAGTTGTTAGACGATTTACATACAGTGGCATCAATGAGCATCATAAAAATAAAGCTGGTAATTCAGTAAGAAAGTAATTCAGGGGTCTGTTACAAAACTACATTTTGCTTATAGTACTATTACGTTTTTCTAAATGATGGTCTATTTTGGGTACTAGAATGTAAAGAGATACATATTAAGAATATTAGCTATACCACAAATGTGGTGAGATGTACCTTGGCGCATTACCAACCGTATAGCGTTCCGGGAAGGCCAGCGCCGCCTTTGTAGAAAGCCACATTAGCCACAATGTGGCTAATTACCTGGGTCTGCTGACCTTGTTGCCACATACACTAACAATTCACATTATTGACATATTTACAGCCATGTGCTGTATCACACAATCTTATTTTATTCCAATGAGGAGGCAGGTGATGTAACACTTATGGATTCGTAACTTCACTGTTTACGGTTCTGCTTGCATGCTGTTAGATTTGGTCCTTAACCAGAATCTTTCTTGTATACAGATGTATAAATGGGTGTAAAATGCCAGGCAAAAGCATCAACTCAGCAGCTTAATGTACATTAATGGTGTGGATGCGGGACCAGCGTACCATCAGGCTCACAATCAGTAGTAACTTACAGAGCAAGGAGGTGGTATGGGGGGGGGGTGGTCTTACTATCTTGAGGAGGAATTGGAGAGCTGTTAAAATATATCCTTTTCTAAAAGCACCACAGTCGCATTTGTTCGTTTGCGTAATCTCACACGTCTTTGCCCTAAAACACCTATATATTTACAAAGGGATTGCGATTTGTCACAGCGTCTTATTTTATTTTATTAAAGTCCTTCGACTTAAATGCTTAGAAGGGATTCTAGATAATGTGTGCTATCCCCGAAAGTGGCTCTACTAATACGTAAGATTTTATTCTATCACTGTCCTCTTTTCATTCAATCTCTGATCATCAGCTTCTAAAATGAACAACAAATTCAATTAGTGGGCCTAAATATAATGGTTACTTTAGCTGACCTTGTTGACAAGGTAATTCTTATTTTTATTGATGCACTAAGTAAACCGCTTCTCTTGCATAAACATGTATTTTTACTGAAAGTGAAGGGAAGGGATGGTTTTGTTGTCTCCATTTAATACTTTACAGCCATACTTAATAACTCATACCTTGTGCCTTGGGGATTAAATTAGTGTTTTCAGCTCTGACCTCTAAGGAAATGTAATCTTGTAAGCTGGATGTCTGTTTTACCCTCTCTTTTATTGTTATGTAATTAATGTATGTCTGCAGTTAAACATTGATGCACCTTCTGATCAAAACATGCACATCTTAAATATTGAGTCTTTAAAACAGAGAATATGGAAAAAAAATCTCTGTGACATGAAATGATCCTGTCATTGACTAGTGCTGTCAAATCTGTGATGTATTTGAAAATACCTGATTCATCTTTTAGAGTGAAAGAATGATTTTTTTTTTTGGATCTTAGATTAAGGAAACTATGAAGTTCGGTCTCTTTTTTTTGTCTGGAATTGACAAGTGATATATACTTATATGTACTTTGACAAGTCAAGTCATCTTCGGTGAATCTTGCCTACCTGAAGACCTACTGTATCAGAAACGGTCTTTTATCGCAGCTTCTGCCATTCCGTTGTTGCATCCTGTTACTGTCCTGCATGGGCGACAGCTGCTGATGGTGATAGCGGGATTGTTATCGCGCCGATACCTTTCATGTTTTGACGAAAGGTTATGTGCAGTGAGCGAGCCCCACAGCCACTGGCAGACTCCTCGCTAAGAGGCCCACTGCAGGCTTTGACTCTCGCTTTGGCTCTGCCACCCTGCCACGCTGCCACTGGAATATTAACTTCTCCGGGGCTGGGATTGATTTAGGAAGACTATCCTCTATCCGCAGCCATACACTGCTAGCTCAGCGAAAGTGTTTATTTATTGTAACGCGTGGGGAGGAAGTATATCCCCCCTCCAACCAACCTCATGCATTTACAACAGCCAGAACGCAGCATTGCAGCAGGGAGATCCCTTGAATGCTGTGCCCATTCTGCGCACTGCTCCATTACTGACATACTAATTAGAACAGCAATTATTGCTGCTATTTTTATAGCACTGTCTGAACTGGGTGGCTGTTTTCCCCCTTGGCCCGTCCATCGGTTGACAGTGAGACACATCACTTGTGTTGAGCGTGAGACACATCATTACATGGGACTCTATCCAGTTCTCGCACGTGGCGTGAGACTTGCCATCGCAGGCCTTTTCCTGCTCTTCGCACTTGACGTTTTCTCTTTCTTGCCGATTTCCGAATCACGGTTATCAGATTCTTCAGAGCAGTTCGGGTAAAACTATGGACATCAGCAAGACAAGCTGTCCAGTTTTACCCTGACCATCCTGCAGCATCTTGTGCATGTGTTTAATCATCACACAGGAGACTAGGGTGCGTGAATTATGGATGCCCCGAGGTAAAATTTTTATGAAAACATTATTCATGCATTAAAATTTGTCAAACATCTCCGCTACATCAGACAGCAGCTCTCCTGAGTTATTATCCAGATTCTGATTAGAATGGCATGCTTGAGGATTAATTTATTTGACTCAATGAACGTTTGTGTGGGGGATGAAGATGTGTCACGTGCAAGCAAAGCAATTAATCGTTGTTTCGGGAAAATTATTTAAAATTCACCCCTTTGGCAATTTCCCCAGCATTGGCATCCCTTTAATGTTGTGCACGCTGGGATTCTGCAAGCTTTTATTGCATGAAAACGGAAAGGTTCCGTCAAGCCGAAATGCAGCATTTCACCCAGATTGTTTCTTTCTCGATACCTCCTTAATACCCTCAGATTAAGCTACTTTTACCAAAAGGGCATTAAGTATATCTGAGGGGCAATTGCAAAGACAGCGTTTACATAGTAATTCTGGACCATGCTCTGTGTCATTTACCGGAATGTGCCACCCTACTGCAGAGAGTAAGACACGTGGTATTTTGGTGAGCAGGAAGCATAGATGGATAATAGGGCGAGGATGAGAGCTGTGATGTGGTGACACCTAAAGGCAGCTTAACGGTACCAGTGCTCTACGTCTGCGAGAACTTCAACCTCAAACTGCAGCAGTCGTGCTATTTGATTTCTACACGTTGTGAGTGAATACTGAATTCACAAACTGCGGTTTTTAATCAGGCACTGGGCTAATTAGGTTTACACGTGCTTCTTTTTAAATGCATTTCATTAAGGTGTTATATTGGAGATTTAAAGATTTTCAAAAGCCTCTTTTATATACTCAAATTTACTTAAAAGTATAGTTTAGTCATAAATATGCAAGAGACTACAGTATTACGTTAAAAAAAAAACATTCGTCCTATGACCCTGACCAGGATTACTGGATGGATGGATGAATGGATGGATGGATGGACGGATGGTGAGACAGATGAATGGATGGATGGAAAATTAAGCTGCTTAATTAATTTCATACACTGACTGGATGTATTAATGCTTATCCCAATATTTTAATTTTTAGACAACTGCCAGGCCTAGTACCAATAAAACAGTGAAAGTTAATACATACGTCTCATCCATCCATCCATCCATCCATCCATCCATCCAACTTCTCTATAACTTACTGCTGTTAGTCTGCAGTGACGCCTCTGTGAAGACACACAGGGCTCAAGGTAGCCGGTGCCTGGACAGGATGCCACAAGTCGTGGTTTTGGGCTGTGGGAGGGGCCTTATGCTGCAGAGTGACGGCCTGGGGTGGCACCCTAACCAACTGCCACATGATCTCCTTCTATTCTCCCCCCTCTGAAGAAGGAAATCAAGGGTAATGCATGACCTGCTTCTGGTCACCCCCACCTTGTGCTATTCATGGTACAAGGGGTATAACAGCAAGACAATACTGACATTACTTTTAAATCCAGTTTAATGTCAGTACAAGTAATATCTTTAATCATGTTTTTATTTGGATTTCTAGGTTGGAAAATACTTGTCATTTTTAGTCTTAATTGAGTTGCATGAGAAGGAGATTAAAGTGAAAGCTTTCAACAAAGGAGAATGCACTTCTCTTCTGGTCTCATTTTAAGTTTTATTTGCCTTATTTTTACTGTATATTGCAGTTTTTGTATCTCAGGCTCTCTGTTATTAATTTCACCATTAAGGTGGTTTTGAAAATCAAGAGCTTTCCGGAGAAACAAAGAAAGGGTTATTTTATCCTGGATACATGTCACTGTATTTGATGGACAGGAGCTGTGGTAGCCGGTCAGGTTCTGCGTTCTGCCCGATTTGCATGTACTTGCTGTCTGGCTTTAATGTTCCCGCGCTGCGTTTCTTCTCTCAGGCTATGGCTCTGAATTAATGAAGAGTCCACTGCCGATTTAATGTGATCCTCGATAAAAAAGGCGGAAAAAAATCAAGCGCCGCTGCCTTCCGCGAGGGCAGCTTGAAATCCACATTTTCCCGTTCCCTCCCTATCCTGCCTCCTGCCCACTTTCTAATCTCCCGCTGACGCTCCATCCCCTATCCTTCCCGCCCCACTCCATTCCCGATTCTGGGCGCGAGATTAATACGGACGGGATGTCTCGGGGCTGCCCTTTGCCCAGCTTCCTAGCAGCGGTGGGAGCGGATTCGCAAGAAGGAGCCACGGGGTGTTGGGGGGGGGGGGGGGGCTCGAGACCCCGTTCGTGTCTGGTTGCAGCCTTTTCGGAACGGCGGGATGTGAAATGGAAACGTCTGAGGAAATGAGGTCTCTCTCTCTCTGACTGGTCTCTCA